TAATTTTCTCCTGGAAGGTATTGAGCCCCTAACTTGAAATTAAAGCTTAATCCACTCGATTTGAAGGGTCTAAAATTGGTTAGAATTATTTTGAGTAGTTTTTTAGTGGAAATTTTGTAAGCGTTTTCTTTGTGTTTTTCAATTTTTCTTTCCTTTTTAATTTTTCTAGCACCCCTATTTATAGGAAAATTTTGGACTTGTTGAGCTCATCTCCACCCTAAATTTGGTAAATCTCAACCCTTAATTCAATTTCCAATCAATTATTTTTATTTGGCTAAATTTTTTGCCATTTGTTCTTCTTTTTGTTTAAGCCTTCGTTTAGCTTAATTCTAGCCATAAAATTTACTGTAAGTTAGACTTAATTAATACTTTAGGTTGGCCAAAGTTGGGAGGAAAATGACAAATTTTGGCTCTCCAAGTTTCTAGAGTTTTCTAGGGCTTAGTCTTTCCTAAATCCTCTTTTTATTCAAATAATCATTTCTAACCCTTTATTTTTAGTATTTAGGATCAAATTTTTACCCTTAACATTCCTAAATAATTTAATTTTGATTATTAAACTTTTAATTTGAAGCAATCGAGTTCGTGATTTTATACAATTTAGTCCCTACTTCTAAAATTCCATCCTATACTCTTCAAAAATCCAATTTCTTTCCATAATCAATTCAAATATTTATTAAGTGAGTTTATTTTAAATTTTCATAATTTTTGGACCTAATTTTAGCCTCTAAATTAATTATTTAGTGTAAAAATTACACTATTTTTCTATTAAAAAATTCCCCATACTTAATAAAATTAATTTAAATTTTCTAGTCACTCTCACAAGTCCTATATAATTATTCTATACTCTTAAGGTGCCTAATTAAATTATTTACCTCTAAAAGCATAATTCCAACACATAAAAATTCAAATAAAATATTCATTGCACATAATAAAATTCACAAAAGCACATAAAATAATTCAACACCCCTCTAAAAATTATTCTAAGCACACAAACTATTTTTCATTCATAAACAACATGTTTTAATTAATTATTTTATGCAAAAACTACTATTCATGTATCATAAAATCAATAAAATATCTCATAAGTATAGGAAAACTATTTTAACTATATATATATGAAGAGATTATCAAGATATATGAAAAGCGAAGGCAATATATCGTTGAATTGCCCTTTGTGGGATTCCTTGGAGGGCCTTGATTGGGTAATCTTGTTTGATTGATGAACTATTGTGGGCTTCGGTAATGTGTTTTGGGCTGATGTTGGGATAAAGTAGGTGTTTTAGTGGTTTGGTTGGGATGATTTGGTGTTTGATAAGGATTATATGGCATTTGGTGTCATTGCAAGGTTGGTGTTTGAGGTCGTCGGTTTAGATACATCGATTGGATTAGCATTTATAAGAATGAACCAACTCGTTATTCCTCCAAAGTTATTCTATTATCCTCTAGGAATGAAAGAAGATCCTCTAACTTGATGTATCTTTTGGTCTTTTCTCTAGCTAAAGTTACTTTTCTTGTGTCTAGATTCTAAAGGATCGACTATCCTTCCCAACTTGATGGGTCGTTCTATCCGATCTGCAACAAACACTATCTTTATAAAGTTGTTTAATCCATTACTTAGCAAATAGTCATAATATGAGCATTAAAAATGTTGACGAAAAGAGTGACCAATTCCCTCTCCGGAAAGGGCGAACGAATACGAGATGTTGTTTCTTCCCATCATTGAGCATACTCCTTACCGATTCCCTCGGACTATTTTTCATAAACTATAGGCTAGATCCGTCGAGTGTTATCTCTAGATTAAACTTGTACTTGCCTCATGAATGCATCCACCAAATTCTTACACCTCTTGATCTTTATTTGGTCCAAGTTAGCAAACCAACTAAGAGCGGACCCATCGAGACTCGGGGATAAAAATGGATTAGTAGCTTTTTTTCATATGCTACCTCAATCATCTTGTTTAGATAGATCTTTAAGTGCGTCCTAAAACATTGACTCATCGTGTACTTGGTAAGTTCGAGCACCTTAAACTTTTGAGGAATCACCACATTTGGCATTAGATATTTATCTACACTAAGAGGGGATCATATATATCCGCACCTTCGATAACTCTCAAGCATTCCTCAATAGTTGTTAGCTTTTTAGTTTAGCTATCTTTTCCTTGGCCAACTCTTCGGTGATAAAATCGGTAGTTGTTGCTATCGGTGCTTGGACATCTTGAGGTAACATAAGTATAAGGCCTATAGGTCTAGGAGAAAACTCATGTGCCCCCAAGTGTAGGATAATTGGTAGGATTAGTAGTACCGATAGGCTCTAAATGAGGCATACTAAGAGGTGGTAATGGACCAGCGATTCGAGTGATTAACGATGACATGGTGGTGAACACTTCTAAGAAAGTCGATGACTAGCCGAGTTCTTTTTGGATGACAATTTCCAAAGATATGCAATTTTGATGACTTTGTTCGAACAGAGAGCAGTAAGCCTAGCAACCTCTTCCTTTAGCATCTTTACCTTGTTTTAGTGATTTTGCTCAAGTAAAGTCCTTTCTTCATTTTTCATCCTTTTTTTGGCTATAGTGTGGTGAATACACGAGGAAAGTTATAGTTTAGGTAAGTTGACCTATGTTTCTATTTAGAAAAAACACAAAAAATACAAGATGTAGATAATATATTAAAAATAAAATGACACTTAAGACTGGAATGTGGAATAGCCTTCGAGTGGGGATGATAAGATAATCCAATCATCAATTCTTTGACATTATCCTAAATTAGTTTTTAGATGAAATTGGTTTTCATCGGTAACCCTTGACATATTCCGATCAAGCTTCGTAAGTTCTTAGGTATTCAAACATTGTAAAAACTAGACTCAAATCCTCTTATCAACCATCCCGAAACATCTTGACCTAATTGCTCGATCAATGTTTCGATACATCTTACTTGCCTAGTGACATTTACAAGGGAAGATCCTAGGTTCCGGTTCTAAATCATTATGTGAATAGGATAGGACCTATCTAAGTCTCAAAAAGATCCTTTCAAGCCCAACAAATCATAATAGAATCATTGGGGTCGCTAATGGCGATGATTGGTAAGCATGAAAAATCATTGATTACCCACCGCTCATTAACAACTAGCAAAAAGAGTTGAGATTTCATGAATGTTAGCCTAGGCGAAACCCATTTGAGCACCACTATTACCTCCCAAGTCCTAAGGCAAGTCCGTGATTAACATAAAAGTAATGGTGAGTGTAGTGTGTGTATAGACATTATTCCATATCTAGTCTTAAACACAAAAATAAAGGCATAAATAAAGAAGCAAAAATAAATAAATAAATAAATAAGCATAAATAAAAATACAAGGCAAACAATGCCGGAAAAGCATGCATTTATATGAGGTAGGCAAATTACACAAATTAGCATATAGGCATAAAAATTCATCATATTATTAGAAATCAAATTCAAAAATTTCATGCAAAGCCAAACCCTAAGTAGATCCCTAGTAGAGTCCCCATTTTGTCATAGGGCGGCATTAGTGTGAGAGCAACGAATTTAGGCAAAAATAAGAAAAATGGGAAAAAAATGATTAGAGTCGTCACTTAGTATTGTGATTGCTAGGAAACCCTATGAATTGTCTATTCGTAGTCCGTACAAGGGGTTTATTACTCGTAAGGAAGATTAAAAATCAACCCATCCTACCTAAGGAAAGCCGCATTGCATACAAAATCGACTTGATTTTTTATTTTTTATTTTAATGATGAAAGTCTATACCTATCTTTTATTTATTTGTCCACTATTCGAGTAATTTGGGACCTCATCGGTCCGAGACCTTGTACTCACCTTATAATGAATGATCGAAAAAAATGATGAATGCCAATATGTGCTCGCTAATGTAACTTAGACATCGTGCATGAAAACAAAAATTAAAAATAAGCAAATAGGCAAACAAATGAAACGAGTAAATTGATGAAACCGACAAATAAACAACTATACAAAAATAGGCTAAATTGGCAAATAAGCAAAGTTAGTGAAATCGAAAAATAGAAAAATTGGCAATATAGGAAAATAGGCAAAATTGACAAAATCGACAAATTGGTAAAATATGGCAAAATCAATAAATTGACAAATAGACAAATAGGCAAAATTGATAAAAATTAGCAATTGGGTAAAAAATCGACAAATAGACAAAATTGACAAAATTGACAATAAGACATATTTGGCAAAATCGACAATTCGACAAAATCAGTAAATTGATAAAATTTATAAATTGGAAAATTAGCAAAATCGGTAATTAGACAAAATCGACAAAATATGCTAAAATTGGTAAATGGAAAAAATTGACAACTAGGCTAAAATCGATTAAAATTGACAATTGGGCCAAAATCGACAAAAGACAAAAATCGATAAAGATAATTGTCACGACGTGCATGATTGATCTTATTTGACAAAAACGGGTTCAAACTATGAAATTCAAACTTGTTGGATTCAACATTGTGTTTTTTTGCTTTAATAAACTTCCATGCAAATAATTTAACATTATTATTGATAAAATGGTCTAAAAAGTTGATTTAAACCAAGGCCAAAAAAAAAAAAATCACATCTTTAGGATATGTTGACACAATTCCATTGATCGTCATGATTGACCAAGAAATCATCCAAACACAATCCTATTCATCCAAACACATCAAGCAAAGATGTTATCCAACCACCACAAATGCAATAATGACTTAATTACACACACTATGATAGTTCAAATAAATCGTACATAAGCAACAAATTAAATTAAATTTTACAACATAACAAATTAATTAATTATAGGCACATTAGCACAAATCAAATTTAATACAAATTAAAATAAAATCAAACAAAATGAAAGTTAAAAATAATTTATTGTAAACGTGAAGGTAGATTAGTTATCAAATAGGGACTACTCTTACTCTTTTCAACTCCGATAGAGATTGGTATTCAATCAATTGGAGAGGAAAGTTGATTGTTAGTAATTGGATCTAACCAAAATGGCATGGAGCGGTGATTGATTGCCGTTGACCAAAGTTACTTGATTGAATAGAGTGTTGGAGGTTGTTGGCCATATTGAAGCCGAGGTCGAAGGCATGGATCTAATCGGACCAAACCAAGAGAAGGCTAGGTTGATTGGATCGGCATCGAACGAGAGAAGGGTGACCATCGGATGTCGAGCCATTGCTTGTGGAACATGACTCGGGCTAGATTTGGTTGGGAAGAAGGCTAGAGGCATGGATCGATGTCGGAATGGAGAGAAATGGCTACCGATCGTGAAGGAACGACTAAAGGGCTACCGGTTCAATGCGAACGACTAAGGCTATTAGTCAAATCCGAGTGTTGGTTGCTATTGCTATTTTGGTCCGAGCGAGCTGGGGGTAGTTGGTTTGGCTAAGTGTGGCTGGAGGCTACCGATTAGAGGCGTCACATCCGGAACGTGGTCGCTAGTCGGCATGGTGGTCGCTAGAGCGATGCTTCGGATGAGGATCGGACCGTTGGATCGGGCTTGATCGAATGGATATCTACTCAAAACGCTTCGGTCTAGGTTGGATTTCTGGTTCGGGTTGGGGTGGCTAAAAATGGGCCTTGGCAGCTGGGTTTAGTGGAGAAAATTGGTATGATCGGAGTTTTTAGGTAAGGGGTGGCTGGTCGGAATCTAGCTTTACGAGAAAGAGAGTCGGTCGAATTTCCTAGAGAGAGAATGACTATTAATTTTAGAGAGAAAAGTGGGTTTTATACTAGGTGTTTAGGTTTTTTGGGCTAAGTTTTGTTTGGTCCCTCTACTTGCAAGCTTGTTTTATTTTGGTCTTCTTCTCTCTTATTTTCAATTACACCCCTCAAATACATTCTTTTTTCAGTCCCTTTCTTTTTTTCTTTTTCCCTTTTCTATTATTTTATTATTTATTTAGGAAAAATTTAGGTGTTAACATAGGTCACTAAAGAAAAGCAAACAAAATGGGTAGGTTGCTTAAGAAAGCAAGGCTAACTAGGTAGGTCACCACAGAAAGTTAGATCAAATTGGTGGGAGATCACCCAAGAAAATCAAAGTTAAAATAGTTAGGTCACCTAATAAGCCGGACCAAAGTGGGTAGATCACCCAAAAAACCAAACCAAAGTTGGTAGATCACTCAAGAAAGTAAGGCCAATAGGATCGGTGGCCTAAGAAAGCCGAGCAATAATGCGGGTCCTCCATAAGAATATGGTCAACAAGATATATTGATTTCTTTTATAATTTAAACATTTTCTTTATAAGCTTACTAAGTAAAGCCACTTGAAGTTTACGTTTTTGCTCATTTGACTTCATAAGCATTATAAAGAAGAGATAGCTATCAAAACCTAAAATTTGATCTCGTTTTATTTTTTATTTTTTTTTACAAGATTAGAAAAAGAGTTAAAAAATATAAAAAATTCCATTTTTTAAGATTTTTTTTTTTTGTTTTTGCGGTTTTTCTTTTGATAGTTTTAGGATATATTGATATTTTTGTTTCCAACTTAGGGAAGATAGTAAAAAAATATAATGCAAAAAAAAAAAGGAAAAAAAAGCTGAAAAATATCAAAAAAGGATGAAAAAAAAGCAAGATGAAAAAAAAATGTCAAAGAAAAGATAATTAGAAGAAGTTCGGATCAAGATATAATTAAGTGAGAAAAAAAGTGCTGAAAAGAAAGAACCAGGTGATGAAATTAAAGAGAATTAAAAAGGAAGAGGATGGAATTGAAAGATATGAACAATAATCATCAATTAGAGGGTTCAATAAAAAACTTTAAGACCTACATAAAAAAAAATGTGCTAAAGTAGAGAGACTTAAAAAAAAAGGTAAGTGAAACACATTGTTTCAAGAGGGAATGAAAAAAAACAAAAACCCAAGGAATGCCATTTGCTTAGGTTAAATTAACTCGCAAACTTTTGTTTCTTATTTTTCTCTTCTTCCTTCTTGCTTTCTTCTCCTTTTTTTTTTTTTCTTTTTCAACACTTTTTGGCCTGATTTTTTCCTTCATTATTAGGCTTTATCTCTCCTCTAACACAAGTATAGACACTTGCTTCAACTTCCAATGTATATAGAGTGATTATTGCCCATAAAATCACACCCAACGAGCCCCTAAACTAGTCTTAATCTCTACCTAAAAATCCCTCCATGGAATCAGCAAATATCCACGAAGATATTTGAAAATCATCTCATCAATTCTCATTCCCACACTATAAATAGAGGAGATAGTCGGAGAACAAAACACAACAAAAATGAAGACAAATACAAAAAAATAGAGAAAAGTTGAGACAAAAAGAGAAAAGACAAAGAGGAAAAAGCATAGAAAATCTTTTTGGAGAGTTGTTGAATCAGAATAAAGGAAAAAAATATGTAAAAAGCAACAAGTATGTGGTTAAAATTCATACTATTTTAATTGTTCATTTTTTTATTTTTGTTCTTGGCTAAAATTTTGTGTATTTTTCCCAAAGATTAAAATTAATTTTACAAGCTTGTTTGTACGATTTTGTTTGGTGGGAATAGAAAATTTGGTATGCCATAATCATATTTGAATCTTCATTTGGATACATTTTTCATTATATCCATGATTTTTTTGGCTATGACTCAACCCAATAAAGATGCAAAAATACGAACACACACACACACACATAATAACATGGAACAAGCCACATGATGAACAATAAAATTGACATGATTTTTATAGTTCAACTCTTATGCTTGTTTGTTTGTTTTATTATGCTTTTCTACAAAAGGATATTTTCAATCAACTCCCTATTCATCAGTTTATTTGATAATAGCTAATTTAGTGCTTTAATTTGATAGAATTCTTGATTATTTTTGGATGATAAATTGGAAGGATTATAAGGTTAATTAATCAACAAATAACATAGTAAAGGCTATATTAGAATTGTTTTAAGGATACGGACTATTTTGTTCATTCATGATTTGGCTTGATTTTTTATGGAATTTCAATATTAGATTTTAGTATGTTTTAAATAAGATGTCATCTAATTGTGCATAAAATTTTATGAGATCATTTAGATACTCAGTAGAATTTTTTTTTAGTTAATGCCACATAATTAATTTCAAAGATAATATGATTAAGGGTTTTAATCTTTTGATTACAATTTCTTTTCATATTTTTAAGATACAAGATGATCTTGGTCTATAAAATATTGATTCAATGCAAATAATGTAGAATATGTTTCTCTAAATCTAAAAGATTACAACATCTTAATTAAATTCAACATAAAAAAAATTCTAATCAATTTAATTTGTTCTTATATTTCAATGGTGTCACAATTATAAGTAGGTCCAATGTTAAATGGATGCGATTCTTAATTTTAGAGTCCAATTTAATTTTTAATAAGTTTTACCATAAAATTTAATTCATTTAATAAGTTTAAAATTTTTAATTTGTTTCGATATAAAAATTGTGCTAGGATGATAATAAGATCCGAAACTAAATTAATGTGACTCCCTATCTTAGGGTCCAATAATAATTTATTATGATTTCATAATAGTTTATAACCTATATAGTGTGTGATAAAAGAATCCTAATTATAAATATGAAGAATTAATTATTTAAATTAAATCCAAATTTGCAAATGACTTGAGATAACAATAAATTCAAAACGTAGATGTAAATATTGTGGAAAAAAATAATACTTTAGGAAATGATTTAGAAATAAACAAAGTCGTGTATTATTTCTCATAAAATGATATTTTTGAGTGATTGTTATCGTCACAATAAACATAATCAATTACTTATCCATTTTCGAATTAGTAATTTAGGTTTCTTATTTCTTTAAAACACTAATAACAACTTTTCATCTCTTAGCCCTTTTTAATAAGAAGATTCTATATGTCGTGTAGTGACAATAATGTTGATCTACAAGTGCAATTGTACGATGAACTCATGTAACACCCTTGGCCTAAGGACGTAATGGAGGCCAAGAATGCTATCGACAAGGCCTCACATTCATAATGAACTAAATGTGAGACATAAAGCATCATGTTCTTTTACTATTTTGTGTATGAAAAATATAATACATAGTAGAAAAATATGGTTTAAAGTTGAAGAAAAATATGGGATAAGCTCATTAAAAGCTAATTTATGAATTAAGCTCATTGGAAGCCAATTTAGATTTTTAAAATCATAAAATCACATAACCATTTAAAACCAATTCAAATTTCATAATTGGAACCGTTTAATTAAACCTTCACTTGGATAAAATCATTTCATTACTTTACCATCTAAAACTAATTTATAAACTACCAAAACGCATACATTCATTACCAATCTAAAGTTCTCTAACAAGTATCATTAGTTTACAAACCAAAATACTTAAACATAGAAAACATAGAAGAGTCCATTAACATGAAAGGTAAGAGATGTTTAAACCTTTAACCCTAACCATACATTTATAGTACACATGGTGACAAATTGGGCTCCTCTCAACAGCAACCTCAACTTCAAAACAAGGCATCATGCATCATTTGGTTTACCTACACCACAAGACATAAGGTGAGTTAAAGCTTAGTAAGTATAATCTATGCATGAAATGCAATTAAAACCATCCTATTCATGCTTGAAATTCCTTTCATCTTTCAATCACACCTTGCTAAAAGTATATATATTCGACCCTTAATGATAACCATCCTTGTGAAAACCATAAAAGCTCTAGACATATTCTATTCATTTTCCTCTCAAAGGGTTAATCATTCCCCTTGTAGGCCTCTTGAATGTATCGAACCATAAGTCTTGAATAGTCATGAATATGACATTTCTTTCATTTCTTGAAATCATGATAAAACATTTCATGACATGCAAATAATATGCATTTCTCAAGCATATAAATAAACATCATTCATGTACCATGAAACATAATTCAAATAGCATTAAACTTACCATGTGGGTGAAACAAATAATAAGCACTAAACCATGTTACATGAATTCAATACATGAACTAAATCTCACCATGATTTCATAATTATATCCATCTATAAATAAACACCTAAATACTAAATTCAATTAATCATATAACCCTAAATCATCAAGTAACCCACCATTACTCAACTAATCTATATTCATAGGAAAAATATCCAATTACCATCAAATACCACACAAAACTAAAGTCACCTAAGAACAACCACACAAATGACTTCACCAAAAGGACATGTCCATGTTCATTCATTC